TCCGTTTGCTGTATTTATTACGTTCCAACACTTATATCAATTTTCAACTGTCTTTTTTCATTTAGTTTTACAATAAATTTCTCTAGATCTAAAGATCAGCTGTCGAAGGAAAGTTATGAATCTAGCCTAGATCTAGATCTAGCCTAGATCTAGGTCACTAGACTCAATGTAAATTCTAGATCTAGACTTAATGTAAATTCTACATCTAGAATCTATTTCAGGCCTTAATACATCTATAATCTATTTCAGGCCTTAATTATTTTATATAAATCTTTGTTTGGCTAATTTAAGATAAAATTTAATTTGAAAGTTACTACTACTAGACTTAGATCTAGATCTATGCGCGTAAATCAAGTTGCATAAGGAGACTCAAAGTATAGTGTAAAAATTCATTTGTGACGTCACGAGTAAATAGCTAATTTGGTAGTGTAGGCGGCTCTCATGCGGGTGGCACAGGTTCTAGACCAATATGTCAATGATATTTTTTTTTTCAATTTTTTTTTTAGATGTCAATGATAAAGTTGCCTTTCTGAACTTGGCAGGATACAGGGCAGGTGAAGTAGAGTTCATCTGTTTCTTTGTCCTAAGCATATGAAAGGATAGTGTGGTCAGAGACATGCTCGGCTGGAATCGTTTTTTTAAACGATAAAAACATGTCTGAGACTTGGCGGGACACTGGGCAGGTGAAGTAGAGTTGAGTAGGTCACCTGTGACGTCAGTATATGAAGGGGGGGCGGGGGAGGGACATATGTTGGGGCGCCAAAATGGTTTGGAAAAATAAATTGAAAGGTTGAGGGGGGGTTCAAATCGAAAGTTTGAGTGGGGGGGGGGAGGTGCACATCAAAAGTTTGAGGGGGGGGGGGGTGAAAATCGAAATCTTGGGGGGGGGGGTTCAAATCGAAAAGTTTGTCCCCGGGCGCCGGGAAGGGTCGCTATGCCTCTGAGTGACAGACGTGATGTTTTTTGATGGATGACCCCTGAAACCCACAGTTATCCAACGGATGACGGGTATTCTAGTATCAATTTAAATCCAATAAACCAGCAAAAGTACATTATTTATTGTAAACGAACTATATCAAGTGTATTGAAATTACCTTACAGATATTTTTTCTTTTCCCGTTCGTATCCAAGGTACATGTGGCGGATAAAGTAGTTCATCTGTTTCAGAGACCTCGGAATATGAAGAGATAGTGTGGTCAGCACTATGCACAGCCACCTTTGTTTTCCCTAACGTGAGTTAGGTACCCATCAGAGTTGGATGGACTCAGGGACATTCTACGGCCCTAGGTGCTTTGACCACAGGTGCTTTGACCATAGGGGGCTTGACCATAAGGGGTTTGACCACAGCGGGGCTTTGACCACAGCGCTTGTGATCGAACACCCGTTGACAACCCACCTGTTATCAAAGACCATTTGCTGAGAAAACACATGTAGTCAAACCCCCTATGGTCAAAACCCCGTTATGGTCAAACCCCCGCTGCGGTCAAAACCCCTATGGTTAAAGCCCCTATGGTCAAAGCACCTGTGGTCAAAGGTCCGCGCCCCCATTCTACTGACTTGAACCCGGATTCGAACTCGAGACATTCGGGTTATCAGTCTAGCTCTGTACCCTATTAGATTAACACACCAACAAATGTTACCACAGGTACAAGTACGGCTGGGCTTGGGGACAGATCCAAATTATACTGTATTGCCGAGCCTCAAAGTCTTTATCCCCGTGAACTGGGCTATTGGGATGATGACGATGACAAAAATGTAACGGCAGTTACAATTGTAGACGTTTGTCCAATTGAAGAAGAACATGATGGTAAATATCGATACATATTTAAACATTTTCTTGTAAAATTAAATTGTATTTGGCACTCACATTTTAAACAACACATAATAAAACTGCATATGAGGAATTCGTACTTCTCTTATACGTTTATTACAGGATCAAACCATTGCTCATTAGCCAGACAGAGTAGAACATGTTTTAGATTCGTGCACTTCTCTCAACCCCGTCTCTATTTCAAAAGATCTCTCAAAATTTAGGCCACCCAAATCTCTATTTCAAAAGATCTCTCAAAATTTAGGCCACCCAAATCTCTATTTCAAAAGATCTCTCAAAATTTAGGCCACCCAAATCTCTATTGGGGTCATCCATAAATGACGTCACGCTTTTTTTGGACAATTTTAACCTCCCCTCTCTTATCTGAAATAGAGTATTTTAATCAATTCCTATTACAATTAATTAAAACAGTTTTCTAAAACGCAAAATAACGTCTAAAATTAGTTTTCTAACATTCCCTTTTAAATAATTTTTTATAATGCAAAAGTGTGACGTCGCACCATCTGAAATCCCCCCCCCCCCTCTGAGTGTGAAGTCATTTATGGAAGACCCCATTTCAAGAAGATCTCCCCCAATTTAGGCCTCTCAAATCTCTATTTCACAAGATCTCCCCCAATTTAGGCCCACCAATTTCTATTTCAAAAGATCTTAAAACACAATTTTTATCTTCCATTCCTCCTTTCTCTGGAAATGGAACGGAAGTGTCTCTGGTGGCACTGCTACCTGCATAACGGAGGCTGTGCCCTACATTCCAATACCTCCTTTCTACTATTTTCTTTTAGACTGTTATATATCGGCATTCCCTTCAGGCGTATATAAGGATTTTTATCTTGCCAATGTATTTTCAGATTAGAAATAAATAAATACATATTTATACACGCAAATCTGTTTGATTTAAAAAACAACAACAACAACATACAATGCAACATAAGCCACTAGTAAGTAAAATGTTTTCGTGATTTGATTGGTCAGGAGTAAAGGATGACCAGGCTCCAGTATAACAGTTTTCGCTTTCAATCTGCAAATGCATATCTTGTATGATAAACGGAAAAATCAAAGCGTTGCTTGTTCTTATTTTCCTACTACAGGCTATTCCAGGAAATACTACACATTGTTGTAATAGCTGATATTTGAATACATAAATCTATTGAAAAATTAAGAAAAATTTAATCTTTTTTTATTCAGAAGAAAAAGTACCCATAGGGACACTTACCATTGTCGCTTACGTTTTAGTCCTGTGTAATCTGTGTGCTGCTGCTCTGCATGTTGTAAGGTATGGTCTAATATCTCTATCAATATCGTTAATTTAACTCGTTTTTACTTAATTTGAAAAAGATATATATTCCATGTTCTACTATATATCTATATCTATATATATATATCTATACCTATATATATATATATATACATACATATATATATACAAACATACATACATATATATATATATATATATATATATATATATATATATATATATATATATATATATATATATATATTGCAACATTTTAGAGATTATGACTAAACAATGACCGAAGGGTTCTAATACAGTTCAAAACTTACGAGGGGGTAGCATGAAATATTTTTTTGTTTTTTATTTTCTGATGACCAGACTCCGGTCCAAGTCTCCACCACCGGAAGTGGAGAAAGTTCCAGAAGCAGAAACAGCTGCCGCAGAGAGCAGGGCTCCGTCGTCTGCCGGAGGGAGCAACGCTTCAGGATCTGTGGCAGGGAGTGGCACCAAGACATCGGCTGGGGAGTCTGTGGTCTAAGTTATGTGGCTCAACCACATCCTGGGATCTATAGTCTTATGTGGCACAACCACATCATGTATCTATTGTCTTATGTGGCTCAACCACATCCTGGGATCTATTGTTTAAGTTATGTGGCTCAACCACATCCTAGGATCTATTGTCTTATGTGGCACAACCACATCCTGGGATCTATTGTCTTATGTGACACAACCACATCCTAGGATCTATTGTCTTATGTGGCACAACCACATCCTGGGATCTATTGTCTTATGTGGCACAACCACATCCTAGGATCTATTGCCTAAGTTATGTGGCATAACCACATTCTAGGATCCATTTCCTAAGTTATGTGGCACAACCACATCCCAGTATCTATTGTCTAAGTTATGTGGCACAACCACATCATGTATCTCTTGTCTTATGTGGCAAAACCACATCCTAAGGTCACTTGTCAAAGTTATGTAGCACTACCAAGTCTTAGGATCAAACGAAAATGTTTTAAATATCTCCTGTTATTTGTTTCATGATCGACACATATCTTTCAAGTAAATAAAGTGAGTTGTTTTCACTCGGCTTGTTTCGTTCCTTTGATTGCTTATTTTTAAAGTTTCTACTAGCTGTAAAACCTGGCGGTGGGGAAAGAACTTTTTAAAACAATACGTTTTGTTAGATTTTCAGTTGACAAAATTTCATCAATTTTAAATACCCTTGATTCAATGGTACCATTGAAAACTTCTATATACATTTTAATAGTTTATGTATGTCGAGCTTCATACTGACAAACCTAGCCCTTTGTTATCGGGTCTATTAGTATCACTGCGATACACCTCTCTCTCACCGTTTCAACCCCAACATATACTTTTCTTTAAAGAACAATAACTCTTCTCTGAAGGACAATTCTTCTTTAACGAACCACAACTGTTCTTTAAAGAACAGCAACTCTTCTCTAAATGACAACTCTTCTTGTTTTTTTTTCTACCCGAACACTAACTTAACATCACACAAATACTAACTTTGTATGGATTTATCGAACTCAAATTTCTGCAAGTATGCAAAACAGATTTACCTCCCCTTGTTTTTAAGTTCTATTACACTTCGCTACAAAATCAGGACAAGGTAGTTGAATTATAACGAAACAAAATAGATAAGTTTTTACACAGATCAAACATCACTAGTGACAACTGGCATTCCTACCTGATAACCTCTAACCTTAGAGTAAATTGTTTGTCTAAGTGATGATCAATGATTAAATAATTAGGTCAGAAATGATTATCGCCCACACTGAGTGAAAGAAGAATGGATGAATACAGAAGGAAGGAAAGAATAGCTGTGTTTGGGTAATTTGTATGTGCTGATTATAAACATATATTTATCAGGCCAGGTTAAACCCTGTTTTTATTGTGATCAGGGTTATTATTATAATTACAGTTTACACTGTATTTAAAGCTTTTGTAATGTGTTTAGAAATATTTGTTTTAAAATAGTAAATAGGTTGAAACTATAGCAAATGATCAACATTTATTTCTACTGGTATGTATTAAATCTAGTTAAGGACACATTTTTTGTTTCTACCAATCAGTTCTTATGTAAATGTTAACTGTATTTTCTGGTATCTCTCTGTATAAATAGAAAAATATTAAAGGAGTAGATCAATAAAAACAGACTTTAACTCATGCTCCCAACCTAAAAATTGTCTTAAATGGTGGTGGTATTATGATAATTATGATGTTGTTCTTAACTGAATGATTAGTCCTTTGTCAAATGGTTGATCAACATACATTAATCACAGTTTAGATAAGAGTGAATAATTAGAGAATTCATAAATTCATTAGCAGCTGCTTGGGCTGAATCCCCTATTTTCATTGCTTAGACAATATTAGCAAAAGATGTGTCTCTCTGCTTAGCAAAAAAAAAAACAAAAACAGATGTTAGAGAGGGCACACACTGTGTAAATCTTCAACAACACCAAACAGAGGCTTTCACAAAATCAAGAGGCAATGAGAACTTGGGGCAGACACCATCAAGATGATACTAAAATAGAAACCTTATTACAACAAGAGCTTGTGGCAAATACTATCAAGATGACTCACATGTGGAACTAGCTGGAGAATGACACAGGATAAACAACTCTACTTTGTTAGTCTCTCATAGCTAATTTCATTATAAAATTATGGACAAACTAACTGACCCAGCCAGAGAGTACTAATCAGAAAACTAACAAGTGGGTGGCAGCCATTGCTTCAGCAGGACAGAGAACTCTGGATAGTTTGCAACCAGTACCACAGAAGGACAGAGAACTCTGGATTGCTTGCAACCAGTACCACAGAAGGACAGAGAACTCTGGATTGCTTGCAACCAGTACCACAGAAGGAGAGAGAACTCTGGATTGCTTGCAACCAGTACCACAGAAGGACAGAGAACTCTGGATTGCTTGCAACCAGTACCACAGAAGGACAGAGAACTCTGGATTGCTTGCAACCAGTACCACAGAAGGACAGAGAACTCTGGATTGCTTGCAACCAGTACCACAGAAGGACAGAGAACTCTGGATTGCTTGCAACCAGTACCACAGAAGGACAGAGAACTCTGGATTGCTTGCAACCAGTACCACAGAAGGACAGAGAACTCTGGATTGCTTGCAACCAGTACCACAGAAGGACAGAGAACTCTGGATTGCTTGCAACCAGTACCACAGAAGGACAGAGAACTCTGGATTGCTTGCAACCAGTACCACAGAAGGAGAGAGAACTCTGGATTGCTTGCAACCAGTACCACAGAAGGAGAGAGAACTCTGGAGAGACAGAAGATGATGAAATAAAACATAAAAATTTATTTATAGTTTAAGCTAGAGCCCTAATTAACTTAGAATTATTAATTTCTTTAAGGTAAAGATAGACAGAATTACATTTTATAACATGAAGCTGACAAAAAATCAAAATGTATAGAAACAAAGCAAACTTTAATTTTTATTTAATTTTAAGTACACAATATTTACAAGGGATAAGCCACTAGGGCCCCCATCAGCTTTTCTCCGTCACATCCACCTGCGGCAAATCTATGCTGATGATATCCGAACTGCGCAGGGTGGCACGGGGGATCACCCCCATGGGTGTGACCAAATCAGCAACATGAATGTGGTGGAACTCAACATCAGCAACAGTAAACCTGCAGGGTACTTTTGTCTTTTCTTGCATGGAAACATTGGCCGGGGTGCCACTGATCGAGCCAAGCATTCTCAAAAACCTTTCCCTTAAATACGTCCTTTGCTCCTGTACAGTTTGCTCCTGCTTCATGGTAAACTTTTATACAGTCCTCAATAATGAAGCTTCACAGTAGTTGAAGAAACAAATTGTGCCGAAGAAATATAATTTTCAGTTTGGATCATACACACAGCTTTTTTATCTGAAATATTCATAGAAAATGTTGATGTAGCGTAAAATTATTTTACTTAAGTTGAAAAAACAGAGCTTTAACATTACATTCAATAATGTTTGGCTCACTGCTGAGAAGTATTACATTAAATGAAAAATGAGACTTCAAAGAACAACACATCATAAAATTATAATACTAGCAGTAGCTTCAATATTTGATCCCTTTAAATTAAAGTATATCCTTTCATTTAAAATAATCTGTTTTAGGGATAGGTAATCTACTGCATTAAAAGATGCTTGATTATTTCAGTATTCCCCTATTTTTAGTGCACATTACATATATATTACATAGTCTATTTAGCCATTCTGTAATTAATATAATAGTTGTTGAATGAGGCAGACTCAGACAAGAGCAAAGGGCCCCTAATAGTAATAATAGGTTTGTATTATTGGAACTGGATTTATATTTAAATCTATACAATAAGCCCACCCGTTGGTCGAGGCTAGGCCGGGTCTCGTTCTGCTAGGATTGCAAAAGGTCGACTTAAAATTTTACTTAAAATTAACAAATGAAACCTAGAATCGACAAAGTTTTAAAAAAAAAATGTTTTGTGTGAAACTGACTCGCGTTTGTTAAGAGATCTAACTATCTACTTCTGTTTTATAGGCCTACTTTAGGCTACCCAATTTGTTTAGTATTTTTATAGAACTTAGTATATTTATTACTAGAATTAGAATACTAGAACTAGATCTTCACTTATCACTACTATGACAATCAATGATTAACTGAGTGGAGTGAGATGAGATCTAGAATCTAATTCCTAGAGATAGCCTGCTGGCCGCGCCCTTGCTGCTAGCAGAACTACACTAAAAATTTGCAAAAAATGTATCTTATAGGCTTAGGCCTATATGCCTATTGACCCATGAATAGGTAATCTATCATTTTAGGTACATAAAATCGCCAGCGGCTAGTAATGTACAAAAAAGTTACCTCATTGTCAAGTATATTGTGTTATCTGTGTCAAATATTATAGATAAATGAATAATAAAACAAAATCAATGGCTAAATATATCAATATAGGCCAGAAATTAACTTAAAACAGCAGTGTTTGTGAGCAAGATTTGCTATATAAACAGCAGCCCTTTGTAAAATATTGTGGCTTCGGGAGAATGTTTATACCGGTGTCTGATAATGGAATCTTCTTTAAAAAAGGGGTGTCAGGTTACTGTTGGTTAACTAAATACACACATGGCTGACTAATGTCAATGCTAACCCTCTCCCTAACCCTAACCCCAACCCGGGTCCTACCATACGCCTAACCCTAATTTCTAACCATAAAACTAGTTGAGATTACAATACTATTAACAACCCAACACCCCTTTTTAAAAGAAGATTCCATTTTCAGACGCCGGTATCTATAATCATCCGAGCAATGGTTGCATCGCCATCTGTTGGAAACATTGCTAGTCTTCATTTATTAGGCCTACTGAAAAGTTTTAATTCAATTGTTTAAAAACAGGTACATAAATGAAACAAGAAAACATTTTTGTATTTTTCAAAACTTAAATCCTCCTCAAAATGTGAAATAATTATTAAAATTTAAGGAGTCACCTGTTTTTCACATTACTAGATCTAGTTGCGGGCGATTTTACGTAGGCCTACCTAAAGCCTAAGGCTAAAATTAGACTATACTATTTAATTATAGTCAACTATAGAATAATAGGCCTATAGATTACCAATTAATAAATAATATAAAAAAATAAACTATGTAAGTAACAGACTAACTCAGTACTTGAGTAGATCTACTAGATCTAGGTCCTAGTAACTAGGATCTAAAATTTAGACCAGTGATTACACCCTGATTCGGTGGTTGACTTTGTTTACAGTTCAAGTATGTTAAACTGTTAGACTGTCTTCCAATGCTACTTTCATTATTAAACTATGGACATACTAATTGTCCCAGGCTAAGAGAACTGATCGGAAAAGCAACAAATATTTTGAGCTATTTTGCGAAATATAGAATTATTATAAACAGCCAATTTAATGCTTTATGTCATGAAGACAAATTAATTAATTTTTTGTCGTAAAGCATAGTTCTAGTTCAACTAATCCTATTCCTAGGTCACGTCGCCATCGCTCAAAATAAATAAATAAATAAATAAATAAAAAAAAGAAAAAGGAAAAGGAGTTGTAATCTGCCCATTCGTCAATAATCGACATAATTGCATCGAATAAGCTATAGATCTAGTAAAGTTGTAGCATATATAACTAATATGCTGAAATATTGAAATAAGTGACATTAGGAAATCATGGTCTCATAAAAAAGAAGACTATTTTTTTTTTACTTATTATTTCCCTTAGGTAATAGATCTACCAGTTAGATGTACTGATATTTTTCAAACGATGCTTTTTATTTTTTAAAGAAAGTAGATTCTAGTGGATACTTTCTTTTCAATTCAGACTTTCTGTAATGTAAATAGACTCTAGATCTAGATCTAGAATCTAGATCATGAATACTTTTTTTTTTTTAACTCAGACCTTCTGTAATGTCAATCGATCTATAACTCTTTCGGGATTTACATGAATACACCTGAAACAGGGAGGCCACTCTTAAAATAAAAAGCACAATCTTTGGTGTTTACAAAACAAATGAGTGGTCGAGCAACAATCTAGACTTAGAATCTAGGACAGGTCGATGTACATTCTAGCAGCTGAGTCTCCGCCTATCTGCTGGATTCTCAGATACTTCACTCAGGCAAGCTGTTTTTCTTGAATGAAAAATAATATATTATTTATAAGCTGATAGATCTAGATCTAGGTCTAACTAACTGTGATCTATGGATTTTTTTAAATTTAAATTAAGCCTAAGCTACTTACTTGCAGCTAGATCTAGACCTAGAGAATCTAGATCTCTTGTCTTAGATTCACTTAGACTCACTTAGACTCTTAGAGTACTAGACTTTAATACTTAATAGTTATTAATAGACTAGTCTAGATCTAGCTTGCTAGCTGTTGTTTTAACAGTAATTTTTTGTGATTTTTTCAATGTGGAGTCACGCACTAACTGGTTTTACTGGGTGCTGACTGCACCCCCACCCCCTTTTTTTGATGTGACTGAGCCTTCCTGAACAGTGCAAAAAATATGCAAAACACACATTGACATGACATTGTCAGCTAAAAAATAGTTTAGTCTTGTTATTGATCTTTTTTCTTTGTCTTTACCAGGGTTGGGGAGTGACTGATACCAGTACAAATAGCTTTGTCAATTGTGGTTTGTCTATATCGAAGATTTTATTACAGGTACTTTGTACATTGACAGTAAAGTTCCCTTTTGAACCTCACGGTCTTTGGGGCTGGTGAAGTACAGTTCACCTGTTTCAGTGACCTCTGCATATGAAGGGACAGTGTGGTTAGCACCATACCCAACCTCCTTTACTTTCGCTAACAAGTTATCACCTAGACGAAACCTAAAATCTATATCTAACTCTAGTTTTTTCACATCGATTCATGTTTTTTTTCCAAATTTAGATAGAGGATTTACAAACATCTTCCAAATCAATGAGTTAGGTGGATATCATGGCGTCTATATTCCCCTCATCCAACCTGTTGGGTGCTAGTGGATCTATACAGTGTGAGGATGACGAAGAGCTCCTGTATTCTAGTATCAACGCAGCAGATGTACCTAGCACAGGCTGTGCTGCAGCAGAGTTGATATCCCCAGCCTCCCTTGAGCCTAGTAACAAAGTGTTAGTTATTTCTGATAAGACAAAACTTCTCTCTAAGCTGCCACCACCACCAGCAGAACTTGATGTATTTGTTGGCTCCAGACAAAATAGTTGTTTAAGCCTAGAGTCTGCTGTGAATAGTTCTTACACTGCAAATAATGGCATTGCTCAAGAGATCATCAGCAGAGAAAGCTCTCCGGGTCCAAGTAAAAGGTCTTTAGTGCGTAGACCAGTCAGCAGATGTAGTGTTTCTGACCTGACCAGCTACAGGTATGTATCTGTAAATTTAATTACTAACAAAACAAATTACATTGACAGGTAAGAGGCTAAACATTTTAAAAACCTTTAAGATATGTAGAAAGCTACATAGGTTTTTATAAATGGTATTAACAATACCACATTGAAATGTATTTCTTCAAATTCTGCTGTTAAATATTTCAACTCTGGTCAGGCTAGTTTAAAAATTTGCCTGTATATTTTTATAAACTGCTAGACTGGCAGAAGAAAGTCCAGTTAAGTTAAATATTTAGCCTAGCTCATTAGATTTCAAAATGGGAAAATTTTGCGCCGGTCTCTCCATTTCTTATTCCAGTGTTATAGCATACTTCTGGTGGCATAGTAACAATTACGAGTCAGTGAAATAACTGTTTTCCATCTGTATTGTTAAAAAAAGTAAAGTTCCCTTTTTGACCATGACGGTCCATGGGGCAAGTAAAGTAGAGTTCCCCTGTTTCTGTGAGCTGGGTGGGCTCACAGGCACGACTGACTTGAACCTGGATTCGAACTTGAGACTTTTGGGTTAGAAGTCTAGTGCTCTACCACTTGGTCACACCATCCAATTATACAGTTATAGCAACAAGTAAAAATGTGTTGGTACCACTGGACAAAACAAGAGGGTAAATAGTGCTGATCCACTCAGTCTAATCTTTTGAGATGGATCAATCTAAAAGGTTTATTAAATACCTTATGAACTAAGACGTACTAGATCTAGATGTACCAGTGGAAATGCTAGGTTGAGTGTCACCCAGTGCAGCACCTCATGGTGTCAACCCCCTCCCCCCCCCCCCCCCAAAAAAAAAAAAGAAATTATGTGATATATATATATATATATATATATATATATATATATATATATATATATATATATATATATATATATATATATATGTATATATATATATGTATATATATATATCTATATATATAGTTGCAATTGGTAACACCCCATTGTGCCTAATGGCTTCAATTGGTACGCACAATCCACCTATTAATATTTGTGCAATAAGCATCGTTTTCATTTTAAATTATTAGATTTTGGTGTCACCCCCTCTCCGGTCATTGATTAAAAAAACTCAACAAAGCCTTTTTCCTCTGTAAATTTTCAAAATGTGCACAGTTAATAGTAAATATATTTATCTATAGTCAGTTATTTATAGTGGGTTAACTCTAATTAATCATTAATTGAACTGGCAAAAAAGCTTATTTTGCCATTTTTCGCCACGGTGTCACCCCCCCCCCCCCCTAAAAGAGACACCCAGTGCGGTCCGCGGGGAAAAAATAATTAATGGTGAACTTCAATATTTCTTAGATTTAAGACAAAATAAATCTTGTCCATACAGATGGCCTACTGTAATTTTCCTTCTCCTTCTTTGCCTATGATTATATTATTGGATGGGAATCACCTCCAACATAATTAAGTATTGCGTTTTATGTGACGTAATGCCTTTTGGCTCAGCATGCTTTCTTTTTCGATTTGCTTCTTTGACCTTCGTGCATGCAAGAACAGTATGCACATGTTGGAGTGTTCTCTCCTAGATGGGTTAGTGTCCCAGGCTAACGGGTCTCATCTGCCGCGAGGTCCGAACTAGGGACGTTTGGGTTAGATCACTTGCGCTATCTCGCATTCCCACGTAACTCTTCAAATTTCACTTGATAATGGGACGGAGTGGTCTAGCGGTAGAGAGCTGGACTGATAACCCGCAAGTCTCGAGTTCGAATCCGGGTTCGAGTCAGTAGACCGTCCCTGAGTCAACCCAACTCTGATGGGTACCTAACTCACGTTAGGGAAAATAAAGGCGGTTGGGCATAGTGCTGACCACACTATCTCTTCATATGCCGAGGTCACAGAAACAAGTGAACTCTACTTCACTTGCCCCATAGACCAGGGGTCAGCAACCTGCGGCTCGCGAGCCGCATGCGGCTCTTTTGATGTCAAGATGCGGCTCTTCAGCTCCATGCACAAATATTTATAATTTTTTTCATTTTCGAAAATTAAAAACATTGTTCTACAACATTCGGTGATGAATGATATAATAATAAATATAAACAATAAACACTCGCTATTATATTAGAAAATTATTTACTCCCTATTTCAATGTACTTTCTATTACATATATATATATATATATATATATATATATATATATATATATATATATATATATATATATATATATATATATATTAGACTTATAAAATATCATAATATTGAAATAAAAAATGTGTGTGGCTCTTTAAAACTTGGAAATTTTGTAAATTGCAACTTTTGGCTCATCCGTCTCAAAAGGTTGCCGACCCCTGGGTTAACCTAAGGTTTAGGAATTTGAAATAAATGAATTATTTCCCATTCGGAAATCCAAATATCAAAATTTTATTCAAGGGAAATAACTTTTTAAAAAAATAGCTAAATTTACCACGTGTAACTAAGACATACTTGAAAAACACAACAAAACGACTTAAATTTCATTACGTAATAATTATAAAAATTATTTTATATAAGCTATCTAACCGTGGCAAGAAATTATATATTATCAATTGACTACTTAACTGTAGGTTTGGTTTGAAAGTCGAAACACGGTAGCTTTATTATAACATACTTCTAGTCAATTTTGATGACATACGTTTAAACAACGCCTTTCCATCCAATCTAGCAAAATATAAATTTTGGACTCCCTAAACAAAGGGACACCTTTAAAAATATCAAATTCGGGATTGACTAAGACACCCAAAGACATTACTATAACTATTGATTAAATATACAAAAAAAATGATAATTTGAAAAAAAAAAGTTTATAAAAAGTTATAAATTCCCGCCTATATAATATTATAGTGGTAATATAGATACCTAAAAAGCAAGGATTTTTCAGCTAGAGAACGCCTACCTTTCTCTGTAGTGTGTTTCATCCTGAATTGAAATCATCTAACTTACGATAAACTCGACTAATCGATATACTCTACTACATTCACAAACTTCGATACCTAAACATAACTAGACTCGATGCTCCAGAATTACCACACCAACTCGCTTAACTTCACCAAGCTCTACAAACGATACTTCCAATCAACAACGATTTCACTGGACCTACTTGTACACGTTAACAGTCAACACAATTCGATAGCTTAATACCACACGACTCAATATTCCCAAACTCCAGAACTACGATACCTCATCACCCAAAATTCTCATATCTCTACTACCAATCAGATTCCACTAGACCTACAACTACACAACAGCCAAATAAAACATATGACACCTTAACAATTCGATACTTTCTACCTACGAAACCATATAAGCAACAGCCTTCCGCCGTTAATCCCAAATCTAAACGATTCATCAAAACTTACCAAATAAGTACGTTACTTTGATAACCCCGTCATTACAAAACTCTATAACCAGAACATATTTCTAATTCAAAGTCAGAGAAACGAGACTTAAAAACCAAAATTGCACGTGTTTTGGAACGCCCCGTCAATCGTTGGAGCGATCACTAAATCAACATTAAAATTAGATAACTGTTTGAAATGTTCGAAATTTAAATTACGAACTTATTCAATCGTATTCTACACCAATTATGTGACACCAAAATAAAGTTTAAAAATTAAAGGCAAAGTGACTGGTAAAAAGCGCACCGACCTTTCCAAATTAGGGAGGTGGGGTTGAATTTTCACCATCGCGGATTAACATAGGCCTATATTGACCTAAATTTGGGGTGGGGCGCCGAAATGGAATTTATACAGAAAATATATACTTTTAACAGTGTCCGCCCCCCCCCCCCCTCCAGAAAATTTGCATCAAATATTATAGTGTAAAGAAACTCAACTTTAAACAGGATAAAAACACTCATCAGAGAACAGTGAGATAGGTGCAATAGAGAGTATACGGACAGCTGACAGCCATTTGGGCACCAGGCCCAGCCCCACAGCAGTGTTGTAGCCAGCCCCGTGGCGACTAACATGCTTGCCACTGCCCAAGTGCTCACTTTTTCGAATATCGTTAAATGTGAATGTCATTTTATTCAAAATGCATGTTTATATCGGTTAGTAATCTTTAATTTGACGTGAGTGACGTAGTTTTAAAGTGATTAGTTACTATTGTTGAGCCGTGTACTGGACGGTGTGGTACAAGTTTACCTTGCGTTAGGTGGGGTGGGAGATAAACCTGGTGAGATCCAAAGGACAGAAAAGACCGATACACGGTAATAAAACTGATGCCCAAGCCAGTTGAGTTTGCCGTGTTGAGGCCTGCCTGGCTAATGGGAGACACCCACTGAGCAGGTGATGTCCGTAAAGAAAGTAAAAGTTAACTGCTTCTAAAGGGGATTGGGATAGTCCTATGTTTTTATTTAAAGCTATTTATTTTAAATAGCAAAATCAAATTTATTTACCTAATCCTAATTGAATAATACAATATTGGTATAAAAAATGTTTGTGGCTCTTTAAAAACTGGGAAATTTTGAAAATTGTAACTTTTGGTTCTTCCGTCTCAAAAGGTTGCCGACACCTGCCATAGACCGTCAGGTTTGAAAGGGAAACTTTTTTACCACTTGTCATTACACCATGTCAGTTTAACGTTTTCTAGAAAAAAAAAATGGGGTCATCCATTAATGACGTCACGCTTTTTTTCCACATTGTCACAAAAAGCCAGCCCCCCCCCTCCCCACACTAAAATGACGTCACACGTTTCTACAACCACCCTATCCCCCCCCCTCCTCAAAATTGCAGTTGAATTTTTCTTAAAACATCGATATTTTACCAAATTCTTGCCTGAACTGTCAACATAGAGTATTTTAATCAATTCCTTTTAAAATTTATTAAAACATTTTTCTAAAACGCGAAATAACGGCTAAAATTCGTTTTCTAACATTGTTTTTGCATAATGCAAGAGTGTGACGTCACATCATGTGAACCCACCTCCCCCCTCTTCTCACGCCGTCACAAAATTACGGACCCCACCCCCTCCCTCCAACGAGTGTGACGTCATTTATGGACGA